ATAAAGCAATCTTGGTAATAAAAAACTCGCCCATGTCATTTGCAAGCAGAGAAACGTCAGTATGAGGGGGAAGAGATCTATCCGGCTGCATATTCAGTAGACTCTTACTTGCCATAAACAGCCTCCGCTGGTCAGTACTATTATCTTCAATGAATTGATTGTAATAGACACGACGTGCCTCATTCATCAAGTTCACCACACGATTTCTTTCCTTTTTAAAAGCAGCAAAATCTGCAGGTAGTCCAGTAATTCTCCACTTCTTTTCAGCCTTTCGTCTCGACCGTTTAGCTTTCCTGATATCTTCGTTAAACCACGGTGCTCGAGGCCGAACAACAATATCACGGGACAAGACAGGTGCATAGATATCCAGTACAGATCTTAGTGTCTCATTATAACAATTGACTAGGGTATCCAAGTCGTCCGGTGGGTCAAGACAGAGCTGAGAAGAGCAAATGGCCTCGGAAAATTGGTCACGGTCAATTGATTTAATTTTCCTGAACTGTAAACGTTTGACAGCCAAATGTTATGCACAATTTAAAGTGTTTTTTCTTCGTAGAAGCTGTCTAAATCAATATCATCGGTCAACTTTAGATGTAGGACATTGAAAATACAAGTTAGCGATTACTTGAATTCCATGGAAAATTAAGCTTTTCAGTTCTCCGTTTCTGATTTTCATTCATTTGAACCCTGATTCTTTTACAAAACCAATATAACAGGCTTCTGACAGAACGTCATATTGCGGCACATGTTCTTTTCACTATGTCGTATTTCATGTCATTTTATATTTTCGTTTATGCTGATTTCGCTTTGACGAATTTCACTAAAATTTATGAAAATCTGCCATTTTTAGCGTGTATTTCTGGACAAAGTGCAACGACTAACGATTAGAATTTGTCACTTTTACGCCACGGGGACTCTCCTTGTAGCCCGATTCCTTTCTTATCAATAATCAGTTTATGCCGTTATGCAACCCGACATTAACAATCTTTCACAAGGTATAGACGTAATGCTAAGTATATTCAATATACTAAAATGTTTCGCCAGACCCCTTTGTGTGCACTGCAGAATAGAAAGCAAGATGTTTCTTGAATCCATAGCACTGACACGAGTGGCAACTCTAGCAGACTCGAATTCGGCAATAAACAAAAAAATTAATTAAACTGGTTAAACTGAAGAAGCCGACGTTCCAAGTGAATAATTTGAAGCTAAAAAATGTTACGTAAAATAAGCATACTGGTAGTACCTGATATCAATACTTTTTGGAATAAATATATTAAGTATATCTAAGGAAAGACTAAATTCTTGTTCGTTCAGTAATTAGCTTAAAAAGGAGAATGTCTCTGACAAAAATTGATTTAGCAGTCATCATTACAGTTTTTCAGTTGTTTTGTTAATATTTGCTGGCTTGAAAATAGTAATTAATAATTCAAATATTTTGTTCGACGCAGTTGTAAAATACATGTCTTGCAGACGAGTTCCCGGCAATACTTTCCATGATATATACTTTCCAAAATATATGAACTTCATATATTCATTGTA